CCTTTTTATATCTTGATTCTAGTTTCAACATTGACCACCAGTCTGTTGATAGACCCAGTCCTTCTAAATCTTGATTGTTTTTCAGAATTTGATCTTTAATTAACAAGTTTAGGCAGGCCTTCTCTCTAGTTAATCTCTGATTCTCTCCCTTTCTCTTTTTCTCTTGTGGTTTATTTTTCATTTTTTCTCTATCTTGAATAATTGTCTATTTAGTGTAATAATTCCTTTTTTAATAATTATTGTCGTATTATGTATTGTAAGCCACATAGAGTGGTCGCAATGACCAGATATGCGGGATATAAATAGAATGAATGAATGAATGAATGAATGAATGAATGAATAAATAAATAAATAAATAAATAAATAAAGTCTTTATATGTGACCAGGGCTGCCTCCTGGCTTAGCACTATCCATTACCCGATTTCTAAAAGGCAAGTCAGGTGCTTATGAAAAATTTACAAGTTGGTTGAGAAAATAAGCTCTTCCCAACTCCCCCACACTGGTATTCATAAGTATTATCTCTCTTAATATACATAGATAAACTTTGTGAAGAGGGTCAGGGCCAAAGTCATGCCTGGTTTTTGAGTTTCAGTTAACCCCAGTACAAAGTTGGATATTAAAGGTTGTGAGTCTTGCCCTTCTTGGCCAGGGTGTGAGCCTCCTGATGACTAATGATCAAGGTGGATAAGAGATGAGTGGAGGAAGAAATATGAATATTTCAGGTGAGAAATTAAATGTCTGTTAGCATTAATAGCATTGTCAGTGTGAAATTAAGAAGTCTGCCCTTATAATATGAGCTGGTCTCAGTTAATATAAATGGCTTAGCAAGCCTGATGTCATTTTGACCAGTAGCTAGTTAATACTCAGAATTGATAAGTGTGAACATTTGTGGATTCAGATTGTTGAATTTGGTGGATCCAAGGTCTTTAATGTTGGTAAAATGCAACAGCTCAGCCTTGTATATGTGTATATGTGTGATCAAGACTGGCAACTGTGAGAGTTTCTGTTCTGATTAAGTTTTGTGTATGTGAAGTTAGATCTACCAAGGATGTGACTGGATGCAGATTTTGTGAGGCTTTGCATAGATGATGCTGCTATACCCACAATTGTTGGTAGGAAGAAATATGGCAAGATAGGGGAGGTGGTCACCAGATTATTAGGCTTTGTAAGTGTTTGCACATCATTCCCCTTTCCTATTCCTTTCTTCTGCTCTTCTTCTCAGCTCATCCACTGTCACTAGAAAGCCCCATGTATCCACAGTTTGCTTGTGGATGCAGAACCCAGCCTCAGCCTAGTGTATATTACAGAGACTGGATTGGATGAGCTGAGAAGAGTCAATCTGACTCAAGAGAAAAGGAGAAGAAATGACCTGGCAGAAGAGTATTATGAGGCATTTGGAAGAAGGAGATGAATGTTGCACTATTCTTTTGTAGCTTGTAGTATCCTTTAACCATCCCAAGAGGGCTCTGCTGATGGGAATTTTGAGGTTATAGCCTAGAATAATGTAGTAGGATTTCTGTCTGGGATCCATCAAGTTTCTTATCCATCACAAAGTTTGGATTAATACAAACAATACAAAGATCTGTTTCATCTTCAACTTAAGTTCAGTAGAATTTGCATGCAAGTAGCTTGGAAGAGTTTGAAGCATGTGGCATGTTATATTCTATTTTTCAATCTAACATCTCTGATCTGCCTTTTGTTTGTATCTCCTGTTTCACCTAACTAATGTCATCTTTCAGGATCAGTCCATGTTCAATTAAAGTTCTTCTTGCTTTGTAGGGAAAGCACAAACTCCATGTAAATACAGGACTAGAAGGAGAGTGGTGTGGTCTCATTCCTGTTGGGAACCGCTGCGATTGTGTTATCACAACAGGACTAAAATGGAACCTTAGTAAGTAAAGCATTTTGTTTCAAGTATGGCTAAATTTGCAGTTTTTATGAGTCCCTATATGATGCTGAAGAAGGAGTTGTATGTGGGAAGGAAGGATATGTGGCAATTATTTACTTCTAGTGTACTGTGTAGTCCAGATACCATCCTATCAGCTGGTGTTATAATTGCAAGAAAATGACATTTTGTGTGAAACCAAAGATCTAATTAAAATTGTTAGAATAGTACATTTCTTCTCTCTACAAAGAAATCCATTCTTGGTTACTAAACGGTATGCATAATTAAATGCGTCTTTTACATTTAAATGGGGTTTGTACACTGCAAATGCTTGTGAGCAAAAATGGGACAAGATCAGAGAGACTATAATTGTTACAGTTTGCTCTGATTTTTTTTCCTATTAATATTTTGCATCCATGGCACAGGTATAGTCCTACTTACAGCCTGCTGTGAATACATCCTCTGTGTATTCTTGCCACCTATTCTTGATCTCTTCTGCTTCTGTGAGGTCCCTCCCATTTTTGTCCTTTATCATGTCCATCTTTCCACAAAATGTTCTTTTAATATCTCAAATTTTCTTGAACAGATCTCTGGTTTTACCCTTTCTATTCTTTTCCTCTATTCTTTGCACTGTTCATTTAAGAATGCTCTCTTGTCTCTCCTTGCTATTCTTTGGAAGTCTGCATTCAGTTTTCTGTAACTTTCCCTATCTCCCTTGCATTTTGTTTCTGCTCTCTGCTATATGTAAGGCCTCACTGGACAGCCACTTTGCTTTCTTGCATTTCCTTTTCTTTGGGATGGTTTTTGTTGCTGCCTCCTGTACAATGTTCTTCAGGTACTCTGTCCACCAAACTGAGTTCCTTAAATCTGTTCTTTATTTCCACTGTGTATTCATAAGGGATTTGGCTTAGATTATACCTGACTAGCCCAGTGGTTTTTCCTACTCTCTTCAGTTTAAGCTTGAATTTTGCTATGAGAAGCTGATGATCAGAGCCACAATCAGCTCCAGGTCTTGTTTTTGCTGACTGTATTGAGTTTCTCTATCTTTGGCAGCAGAGAACATAACCAATCTGATTTCGGTATTGCCCATTTGGTGATGTCCATATCTAGAGTTGCCTCTTTTGTTGTTGGAAAAGAGTATTTGTGATGACCAGCTTGTTCTCTTGACAAAACTCTATTAGCCTTTGCCCTGCTTCATTTTGAACTCCAAGGCCAAACTTACCTGTTGTTCCTTTTATCTCTTGACTCCCTACTTTAGCATTCCAATCCCTTATAATGAGAAGAACATCTTTCTTTGGTGTCAGTTGTAGAAGGTGTTGTATGTCTTCATAGAATTGGTCAGTTTCTGCCTCTTCACCATCAGTGGTTGGTGCATAAACCTGGATTACTGTGATGTTGAAAGGTCTGCTTTAGATTCATATTGAAATCTTTCTATCATTTTTAAGAGTATATCTTTTCCCACTCTTTTGTTGACTATGAGGGCTACTCCATTTCTTCTACGGGATTCTTGCCCACGATAGTAGATATGACAATCATCTGAACTGAATTCACCCATTCCCGTCCACTTTAGTTCACTGACGCCCAGGATATCAATGTTTATTCTTGCCATCTCCTGTTTGACTACATCCAGCTTACCAGGGTTCATAGATCTTACATTCCAGGTTCTTATTCACTAATTTTCTTTGCAGCATCGGACTTTCCTTTCACTTCCAGGCACGTCTACTGCTGAGCGTACTTTCGGCTTTGGCTCAACCACTTCATTAGCTCTGGAACTACTTGTACTTGTCCTCCGCTCTTCCTCAGTAGCATGTTGGACACCTTCCAACCTGAGGGGCCCATCTCCCAGCGTCATATCTTTTAGCCTTTTGTTTCTATTCATTGAGTTTTCTTTGCAAAGATACTGGAGTGGCTTGCCAGTTCCTGCTCCAGGTGAATAGCGTTTAGTCAGAACTCCACTATGACCTGTCCATCTTGGGTGTCCCTGCACGGCATAGCCCATAGCTTCTCTAAATTACTCAAGCCCCTTCACCACGACAAGGCAGCAATCTGTGAAGGAGTGAATAGAGCAATACAGATTATTAAAGCTCCCCCCCCCATTTTTTGTTTTTTATTTCTCAGTTCTGAATTACTATATCGTTGGAGATCTTTTTTTTCTTGAAATAAAATTGATTGCTAATAGTATGAAAAGAAAGATAGAAAAACCAGAAGCCAGTTTCCTATCTCATTTTGTAGTTCTGAAAAAGCTGTGGGAGATATACCTAGTGTTTTCAGCTCCAAAATTACTGCATATTGACTGTTGTAGATAATTATTCCAAACAGGAGGCAGACATTAGAATATTCTCGTCAAATTTGCAAGATTGGTGGTGGTGGGAACAAGCTGCCAAAGTTAATAAATATTTAGACCAGTTGTGTATGCGAAGGGCAACACTGACTTAGATCTGCAGTAAGGTCACTCTTTACTGCTGTGGATTACATTCAGACTGTGTGTTGATTCCGATTCCTGTCCACGTTATTAATCTGTGAGCTGGTAAGCCTTAAATGGCACTGTGACCCTTTTGGAGGTTCCCTCTGGCCAGTAAGCCACGAGATACTGTTCACTAAGCCACTGCCCAAGGGTCTTCCCCAGTGTCTGCTACGTTTCTCCATGCTTCAAGCCCATGTTGATTGTGACCTTTCTCTTTGTATAGAAAGAGCTACATAAGATCAGTTCTTGACAATAATAGAGTCTTTTAAAAAGTCACTTCCTCTGCCCTTCCACCAAGGAGCTGTCACGTTCCCAGGGGTTACTACAGCCAAAGTCCAATAAACCAGTCCAAGGTCAGGAATACCAAGAATGCAAAGCCGATAACCATTTACCAAACCAACTCACAGAACATAGTCAAGGTCAGGGTCCAGAGCCAAACACACAATGTAGTCCAAGGTCTGAGTCCAGAGTCAAATATACAACATAGTCCAGGGTCAGAGTCCAGAGTCAGGAACACGGTTCACGGTTGTAGGCGCATTGATGCTAGCCAGAGGTTTTGACTTGTTGCTTCCACCAAAATTCTAGCTGACTAGGAGCTGTTTTTATAGCAAAACAGCCCCTTGAGCTGTTGGAAACCTTTTCATCCTGTCAATACTCAGGGCTAGATGAACGGATGTTTCTGTGGACAGCCTTTGAGCGATCCTCTGACCTTTTTGCCATAAGTCTTTCCCGAAGCCTGGCCCGAAGCTTGTCTGCTGAGGAAGGAGAATCTGGAGGCAATTCAGGTGTTTCTGATTGCTCAGCATTCTCCTCAGCCTAAGTTAACCCTTCTGGTTCCAGGTCTTCAGCTGCACTCATGACAGGAGCAGAGGAAGTGTTTAATTTGCCAATATCCTGAAGTAGCTCTCTTATTAAACCATTTCACAATTATAGAAATTCATACTCGAAGGAGCCAGACCAAACATGATCATTTAAGCTCCGATATGCCATTTGGGTTTAAGGATCACACCAAATGGCATATCATACTTCTACCTGACCCCAAGCAATTATATTTAACCAACATCAACCTACTCCAAAGGAGCCCATGTGGGCAAGCCCTCAGTTTCTCCAGGTGAGCTCTGTTGTCCAGAAGGAAATGAACCTGTTTCCTGAGGGCCAGAAGTTCACAGCACTGAGAATACCTTCACAGAACTCTGCTCAGCAAGCAGAGTCCTCTGTGCAATACTCAGTGCAATACAATAGATAGCCTTCATGCTCATACAGACAAACTAATGTGCAGACTAGGAATGTGACCTATATATTAGAAATAAAGTAGACCTTGAACCTTAAGGAATGGATGGAATGCCAAGAGGAGAGAGAGAGAGAGAGAAAGAGAGAAAGAGAGAGAGAAAGAAAAAGTAATCAGAGCTGAAATCTATGCACTCTCCCTCCAGCAAGAATACTAAATGAAGCTGGATAACTTGATTACTTGTCTGACTCTACAGAAATCAATAGATGTTAGTTCAGACTGGACTTTTTGAAAAAGTGTTCTGCATCTATATGGAGTACGTGTCCATTTACACTTGGTTGACAGAAACTCTGTAGACAAAGAGCTAACCAAGTTTTCTTCTGTTTTTCTCATGCCTAGTAAGCATATTTGGTGAGCTCTTTATATTCATGAAAACTTGTTTCTTGAAAGCTACAGGCCAGATTGCTTTAAAGTCATATTTCCAATACAAAAAATGAACAGACGAAATAACACAATGAAAAGATGGGCAACACAGGAAACTACTATGATTCAATTGTGATCTTGAACCCCATTTTATTAGTTAAAATGAAGTATTTTGGTTTAAGCTGTATAATACACATACATGTTCAAACTGTTCCCACTTACTAGGAATAAAATCTATTTCTTGCTAAATGGATATGCCTGCTTCCTTTTGTACAAGCTGTTTTGGATACCTTTCAAATATAGGAAAACACATATTTTGTTGCAGTTTCTTTTAGCTTTTGCTGTAAAGTGACTGGAATTATTTTGTGTTTCTAAGAAGCCTTTAAAGAAATGTTAGTGTTATACATATGAACTAGAGTTTCCTTTCCTCTCGCCCCACTTTCCAGCTTTTAGAAATAAACTATCTGGATAAAGGGCAGGTGCAGCTTTTCCCTAGCAGACATTTGGAAGCATATACACACTAAGGTATCATGTACTGGAGCAGCCATTTCACACCATAATGCTGCTGAGGCTTATTTTGAATTATTTAGTATAACATCCTATGGAAGGCAAGTATGTTTTTCAGTGTGTTTCAGCTAAACCAGTCATCCTTTTATTTGTTCTTTTTTAATCATGACAATCAGATCAAAGTGGTATTTTTCCCCTGGGTGTGCAAATTTTAAAAAAAGTGTCTGTACTGTGGAAGCCAAAAATCACAGCCTCCATCTGTGGCACTTCAGGGCTGGGTTGGAGAACCTTCTTGATGAAATCTGGTCAGTCAGTGTTGACAACATGTGGTTCTGTTTAAGGCAGCTTCCTACATTCCACTCTGCAATAATGACACTGAAACTG